AAAATTGGTCCAAAGTTGGGGTCCGACCCCCTCCGACCCCCTACCCCACCCTAACTTTAAAAGTTAATAAAAAATTTCCTACGGCAATACTTTTTTCCACACTAGGTGCAAATGAAAGTTGGGACCCTTAGGCATGCTTGACTAAAAAATCCAGGTGGGGTATAGCACGGATTTTTTTAAAAATTGGTCCAAAGTTGGGGTCCGACCCCCTACCCCACCCTAACTTTAAAAGTTAATAAAAAATTTCCTACGGCAATACTTTTTTCCACACTAGGTGCAAATGAAAGTTGGGACCATTAGGCATGCTTGACTAAAAAATTCAGGTGGGGTATAGCACGGATTTTTTTTAAAAATTGGTCCAAAGTTGGGGTCCGACCCCCTACCCCACCCTAACTTTAAAAGTTAATAAAAAATTTCCTACGGCAATACTTTTTTCCACACTAGGTGCAAATGAAAGTTGGGACCCTTAGGCATGCTTGACTAAAAAATTCAGGTGGGGTATAGCACGGATTTTTTTTAAAATTGGTCCAAAGTTGGGGTCCGACCCCCTACCCCACCCTAACTTTAAAAGTTAATAAAAAATTTCCTACGGCAATACTTTTTTCCACACTAGGTGCAAATGAAAGTTGGGACCCTTAGGCATGCTTGACTAAAAAATCCAGGTGGGGTATAGCACGGATTTTTTTTAAAATTGGTCCAAAGTTGGGGTCCGACCCCCTACCCCACCCTAACTTTAAAAGTTAATAAAAAATTTCCTACGGCAATACTTTTTTCCACACTAGGTGCAAATGAAAGTTGGGACCCTTAGGCATGCTTGACTAAAAAATTCAGGTGGGGTATAGCACGGATTTTTTTAAAAATTGGTCCAAAGTTGGGGTCCGACCCCCTACCCCACCCTAACTTTAAAAGTTAATAAAAAATTTCCTACGGTAATACTTTTTTCCACACTAGGTGCAAATGAAAGTTGGGACCCTTAGGCATGCTTGACTAAAAAATCCAGGTGGGGTATAGCACGGATTTTTTTTAAAATTGGTCCAAAGTTGGGGTCCGACCCCCTACCCCACCCTAACTTTAAAAGTTAATAAAAAATTTCCTACGGCAATACTTTTTTCCACACTAGGTGCAAATGAAAGTTGGGACCCTTAGGCATGCTTGACTAAAAAATCCAGGTGGGGTATAGCACGGATTTTTTTAAAAATTGGTCCAAAGTTGGGGTCCGACCCCCTACCCCACCCTAACTTTAAAAGTTAATAAAAAATTTCCTACGGCAATACTTTTTTCCACACTAGGTGCAAATGAAAGTTGGGACCCTTAGGCATGCTTGACTAAAAAATTCAGGTGGGGTATAGCACGGATTTTTTTTAAAATTGGTCCAAAGTTGTGGTCCGACCCCCTACCCCACCCTAACTTTAAAAGTTAATAAAAAATTTCCTACGGCAATACTTTTTTCCACACTAGGTGCAAATGAAAGTTGGGACCCTTAGGCATGCTTGACTAAAAAATCCAGGTGGGGTATAGCACGGATTTTTTTTAAAATTGGTCCAAAGTTGGGGTCCGACCCCCTACCCCACCCTAACTTTAAAAGTTAATAAAAAATTTCCTACGGCAATACTTTTTTCCACACTAGGTGCAAATGAAAGTTGGGACCCTTAGGCATGCTTGACTAAAAAATTCAGGTGGGGTATAGCACGGATTTTTTTTAAAATTGGTCCAAAGTTGGGGTCCGACCCCCTACCCCACCCTAACTTTAAAAGTTAATAAAAAATTTCCTACGGCAATACTTTTTTCCACACTAGGTGCAAATGAAAGTTGGGACCCTTAGGCATGCTTGACTAAAAAATCCAGGTGGGGTATAGCACGGATTTTCTTTTAATATTGGTAATATAGCTAATTAGTAATATCCCTGCACACCATACTTTGATTACTAAAAATGAACCCTGCATGTCATCAAAACTGCGCGAAACCCATTGTTATAGAAAGAGAATGATTCGCTAAAACAGATTTGGCTGACATGAAAGTATTAAAGTACGAACGTAACTATGAATTCTTGTAGCGTAGAAATATTGTTACTTTTTAGGAACTATTTTACAGGATGCCGAGAATATGGAAAGCTATTTCACACAATATCGAACAAAAATTTTCTGATGGAAAAGTAAGAATATTTGGCCAATATTTAAATAATTTCATTTTGTCAGTGTTGACAGTTGAAGTCTTAAAGCGTGCAGCACGATGTTGAAAGCACATAATACTGTTTTCAAAATATTGAACAGGAAATGAAATTTCAAAATTCATTGAATTATGTTTTCGACTGCTAAATTCAATTTAAATCATGTATTGTTGTGGTTATATAAAACAAAAACTTTTAGTAAGTTTGAATCTTATGCATGTTTTGGGTTTATAGACATATCTGAAAACTGGCTGCTAGCGGAGTGGCTGCTAGCGAGTGGCTGCTAGCTTGAGTCTAGCGACAGTGCGGGTTGGATTGAATCAAACTGGGTGATTTATATAAAAATGAGGAGATGTGCTATAATTGCCAATGAGACAACTATTCACCAGAGTTGAAGTAAAGTGGTTGTAAGTAATAATAGGCTACCATTCAGCCTTCAACAATGAGAAAACCAATACCATATAGTCGGCTATAAAAAGACTCGACAAGAAAAATGTGAAATAATTTAAACGAGAAAACTAGTCAGGCTCCTAACTTGGGACGGGCACATAAAGAAAGTGTCGGGGTTAAACTTGTTTGTGAGCGCTCAACCCTCCCCCTAACCTTGGACAGTGGTGTAACAGCACAACGAAAGAACCAACTGTAAAAATCAGTTGCAATTGACTCAAGTCAAAAGATCAGTACGAGGCACAAAACACCTAGCATAAAAGTACTTGCAGTTACTGAATGTTAGTTCACATCCAATTACAACTAATAAGTAAACATGTTCTCCCAAATAGTTTTTTTTTTTATCTTACATCCTAAATCCTTTCCTGGGTACAAAATGTGTACAGATTATTATGTCTAATTTCTTAACATTACAGATTCAAACTCTTCTTATATCCAAATGCTAGATATATACAATGATAAAAAGGCAGAATAAAACTTGAGAGAGAGCTACCTTGCCGTTGTATGGATTTTTTTCTTTCAATTAATTTTCATCCAAAAATAATCGCTTCTTTCATAGTACAATGCAATATTTTCCTCGTTATAAATTAGCAAAAGTGATAAAAGAACCTATAATACAATTGCATAATCCAAGTACAAGTAAATATTCTGTTTCTGATGTAGAAAAATTGAAGTTCAACATTTTAATTATTTAAGATTGTCAATCAATTTTTCTTTAAATATCTTAGTAGATGTTTAACGACGTAGGTGTCCACTATTTCTTTAATTGCTTTCTTTCGATTTTCCGGTACGATATTGCAGAAAAACTTAGGCTTTTAATTAAAATCGTTCTTAAATAATTATATAAAAGTTTCTTAATTATATGCTTTCAATTGAAACTGCTACAACAAGCGTCTTCCCGCCTTTCACTTTCCACATCCAATAATCAATTGTGATCATTGCATCAGACCATTGACCTGATTGGGCAACTGCTGAGTTTGAATAACAAATCAAAAATCGTAAAACGCCTCCATGTAATTACTAAAGAAAGTGTCTGATGTCTTTGAATGATAGTGAGTAAGGAATGAAGATAGGGTAAATCTGTACTAATAAGGTAGGTTCCTGATTTCATTAAATGTCGTACGACTTAACAGTATTATCAAATGCTAATCTTTGAAATTGTATTGCAAATGCACAATATCCAAATGTAAAAAAGAATTTTGGTTGAATATCTTTGACCTATAATAAAGTTGTGATTTGATGGCAAACAAGGTGAAAAATAATTGTAAAACGTGTTTGTTTTACATTCTATTAAAAGTTAATTTTCAAAATGCTTATTCGAAAACATTCTTTGCAAAAACATAAGATGTTATGGTTTCAAATAAATTGACTGCGGTAAGTCAAACTCTGATTATTTGTTAAACTGAAATATGAGAATATGTTGACAATGATCAGTCAAAAGAATTTGTTAAAATACATGCTTAACTTTTAGGAAGTTGCCTTGTGTACGTGTAAAATATTCAATAGTAGTATTAATCGTATTCCGTTGTCGAATTAAAAATATCCTCTTCTGCTACATATTTGTAGATAAAGTACTTAAATACATTTATTCACTTGCGCAAAAACATAAATTTTTGAATTTTCCTTGTAGTTCGGTATTTTTGTTATTTTACTTTTTATCTCGGTTTTGACCATAAATTTCGAAATATCTGAAATACACCGCCAGTAACACCAAAATGGAGAATCTGATTACTTTTTAATGAGAATTAAGAACTGCTAGATATATGAAAACTGCGTTTGATCTGATCAACTTTATTTTAATTTGAATATGTAAATAATCACGTTGTGATCACTTGAGCCATAACAGCTTAAACATTCTTAATATGTCAAATGCAAACACAAATCGGTGGTTTGGGTTTTGTGAAATCACGCTCGTCTCTAGTGTATCAGGGTTGTCTATTCGTCAAGCTTAAAACATTTTAATAAGCATTTTCTGCATCTTTGTCCAGCACGTGGTATTTTGGGGCCAGATCAAAGCCTTTTCGACTCGGAGTAAGAATGTGTATGAGAAGGGTAGTATGTCGTTGAAGATTTGATTCCGCGTTTCGGTATAGTACGAAGCAAGGTGTATTTAGTTCCAATAGATGTTATCGTGCTGATTATGCATGTAATGTTTGCAGCTGGACGTTAAGCTGTCGTCACTCAATCACGAAGAAATTAACCAACGTCAAAAATTAGTAGTTCTATACTGCGCATGCGTGTAATAATATGTCCTGATTGATTATAAACATAGTGCATTTTATAAATTTCGAGTGCCTGAAGCGCTTTTCTTGCTTTATCTTCACCAGGAACACTCGAACCAAAATAGTTGAAAGCCAGTGTTGTATAAATACTTAGAAAGGTTAGGAGCTATATGAACAAAAGGGACCTTATAATAATTGCCTTCATCAAAGTCAATTTTGCCTGAGGGAGTAAATATATGATTCTAGACTGGTATATCAAAATGACTACTTTGACTTTTATATTAACGGAAACCAGTATTGGTTTATTATCGTAATCTTATTTGATACTGCCTTGTTCATTAACTGTCGTCTATTTCACATGTACCTTCATATTGACTCCTTTATGTTCAAAATATTTATCAATGCCGTTTAAAGGTGGAAAATTATTACATATATAAAGGGTAAATCCTGCGTTAAAATCAATTTGTTATTGAAAGTAAGATTTCTGTAACATAATAGTAATTTCAGAGTTAATTCTTACATAAATATTTCTTAAATGACTTTTGTTCATTTTTATCGACAAGTCATGCCATGACAATCAAGTGCTTATATGACATTCAGAGATCTTGATATTATAACGGAAATTCGATAAAGCTTAAAAAGCTGTAATTTTACCGACAAGTTTCGAAAACGTCGGTATTTAATCCAAGTATAAACTTTCGATAAAAAAAAATCAAATTTTGAAGAAAATGTTGACAAAAGATTATCAATGTGTCTATTTGAAAATATGTTTTTGAAAATATGCTTAAGCGTGAGACTTCTTACTGAACAGGGTGATAATACATTTGTAACTATCTTAGACATTCAACTACATGTAAAATTTGAAGTTAAAGAATTATTTTTAAATCTCGATGGCATCAATACATGCAAACATGTGACATATCAGACAGAACGATACCCATTTATTTAACAAAAACACGTTAACTTTGGCAAAATGATTTCAATGTTGTCATAAAAAGTACTATCAGCTATTTTTCTATGTGTGTGTCTGTTTTTTTTTTAAATAATTAAATAACATTGGAATGATCCACGTAGTATATTTAAAGTGTTATTTGCACTCAAATGTTTAATTCTTTTAAATTGTTTTAAACCTGACTTGCATGTACATCAGTATATGCCAGCTGTATATTTGACACAGAAATTTCAAAAACAAGGTATCAACCTTCTTATGTTGGCATAGTGTGCAATTGATAATATTTATTTTTGTCCATTTTTTCTGACTGCTTTCCGTGAAAAAAGGAATTCCAAAAAATATATCATGTTGAACAAGAAGTCATGTTAAGCTTGTTTGATCAAAAACTGCAAACACAACAACATTATAAAGGTATAGTTTTAGATCTATTAAGTACTTTCATGAAGAGGTATTATAACCCTTACTTTTCAAAGGTTTCACATAAAGAGTTTTCAATCAATCTGAAATAAACTATAAGTTTATAATTTATGATACATATATACGAGTGCTAGATATTGCAAGACTCAGTATCTGCATTTATTTCTCAAACTTAAAACTGCCTAGGTCAAGTACTACTGAAATTGAAAACGAGGTAACACGGTTTACTTCAATCTTTTTTTCTAGTAAAACCTCTTTTGGAAATCCACTTGCCATTCGATTTCTAAAAACAAAATACTCACTAGTATAATGATTATGTATATCAAACCTCACGTGTTCAGTACGGATTTATTTGTAGTGATACTTATCATGTTTTGCTTTCGATGGCAAATAAATGTTGTAATATTAAACATATGTTATATATAATACAGTCTTATTGATACTAGTAACTGGAAATTAAAATATAATATTGAACTATTCTCGACATTTGGAAAAAATATGGATTCCCAATGTTACATTAGTATCAGGAATATATTCAACAATGACAAGAATATGTCCTACATTTTGTGTATTTCTTCTTCACATTCTGTATCAGCACTATTGCATAAAAGCAAGCGGTGCCCAGATTGAAAATGGATTTTACCCTCTTCATTTGAACCTTTCATTTATGATATTAAACCATTACTTTAATTTTACATGTATAGTGTACGAAGCGCAAATTTCTTCATCAAACAAAAGGTAAAGTGCCGGGTCTCAAGTTATTGTCCTGCTCAAATTGTTTTGTGAAGAGCAACAAATAAATAATACACTAAACCAACTCGTGCATCTTTCATGTTAATACGATGCAAGCGAAGTTTCTATTTTGATAGCGAAAAAATATACACGGTGATTTTGAGCAAGTAGTGGGATCCTATTAACTAAACACTGATATACAGAACTGCAAGCTGTCTTGGGCGAAATGGAAAAGCGTAAATGTTTATCTCAAACTTAGCATCATCATATTAAGACCATCACAAGACACATAAATGCTAATTATGAGAAAAATCTACACATGCGTTGATATAGGTTGGATAAACACATTTATGACTTAGATATATGCGAAGATGGTCTTAATATGAAACTGAGGAGATGTAGCATGATTACCAATGAGATGTAGCATGATTACCAATGAGATGTAACGTTCCACCAGAGATGAGATGTAACGTTCCACCAGAGATGAGATGTAACGTTCCACCAGAGATGAAATGACGTAGATGTAAATATCTATAATCACCATCAACCGTTTAACAATGGATAAAACCCATACAGTAAAGTCAGCTATGATGAGTTTTTTTTTTTAAAAGGCCCCGACATGAAATTTTTTTTGAACAATTCAAACGAGAAAACCAACCGGACTGATTTATGAAAAAGACACATCCTAGTCATACAATGTAAGACACCTTCGACAAACAGGCCACTGGTGACATTCGAATCGTGATTCGTTTTGTGATCATGCTTCGTTATTATTACAATTATTTTGAGGGGGATACCAAATGGAGCGATATACGGCACCCAATTTGATCATTTAAGTATTAAGAAGGAACAGAACGTATGAGATACTAAAACGCTGAATGAAACATATGAAAATATAAAATCAAAATTAATTTGAATTGTCAAAAATAATTTTAATATGGATAATGTCACGTGACCATTTGTTAACAGCCAAATGAGGGGTAAAATTTGAAAAGTGGTCAAATCTCTTGAGAGGAAATCTGCTAAAGTACATGTATTTCATTTGCATTGGCCTGGGAGAGAGATAATGCAGATAACAAGAAAAAGGCCACGTGAACAGATGTACATTTTCTACCGCCACTAGTCCTGAACTCTATTGCCCTACGTGTCATCGGAACGGACTTGTATTTAACACGTCATTATTGTTGTGACGGTGTAGGAGTAAGTTTTATCGACTAATTATTCAAAATCATAAACAATTAGCACCAAACCACGACAATTAAGATCCTTAATAACAATAAAAATCGCTAGCATTGCACGGTTTCCCTCGTGTCTAGCAAGATTATTATATATACCATTATCGCTAAGTTATGGATTTAATTATTAAATTTTTAAGTATAGACAATTAACATCATAAATGTTTGTCTTATCGTATATAAGCATTGTGAGGTACAATACTAGTGTGCTTAATTTTATCTGCTGAAACAAAGGTAAGAGAGAATTCTTAATTTTTGGGAAACCCTATTTATGTCAAATTTGATTTAATTTTTCCCCATATTTTTGTTTAAATGTAGCAATATTTGCAGTAGGTAACATTTTGCTTACTGTACTGTAACTTATGCTTTTGTACCTGAAATTCACATTATGTCTTTCATTTAGTGCGAATTAATTAGAACTATTGTTTTCTAATATTCATTCATATTTGCACGTGTTGTTAAATAACACCTTTTCGCTAGTTTGTTCGTACGTAGTATACGTTATACTTACTCACACGAATACAAGACTTCACCGTTTCAACATTAACTTGGCGTATTTCTGACTGTGTAACAAAATTTTATTTTAATGTAAAACTGTAATTTTGATATAGAGTTTGTTCATTTTTTAGTGTTTATAAAAAATGACGTTTTGTCTTAACCATAGCCAAAGTTCTATCGGAGGAAGAAATTAAATGTATTTTTTGTGATAACTAAATTGTTATTACATGTTTAAGGATGTTCTTCGATTCAAAAGTGTACACAGCAATGTATAGCGCTGAGTATTTCTTTGCTTTTTTATGGCTGTGTGTGAAATTGTTGAAAAAATTATATCGTTCGAGACTCTTTGATATTCAAATTTCGCGTTAATGTTTCTTCGACCTGCTTACCTCGTGATTGAAACACATTCAGTGTAACCTGTCTCCTTGATCTACAAATGTGCTCCTGCTTACCTCGTGATTGAAACACATTCGGTGTAACCTGTCTCCTTGATCTACAAATGTGCCCCTGCTTACCTCGTGATTGAAACACATTCAGTGTAACCTGTCTCCTTGATCTAAAAATGTGCCCCTGCTTACCTCGTGATTGAAACACATTCAGTGTAACCTGTCTCCTTGATCTACAAATGTGCCCCTGCTCACCTCGTGATTGAAACACATTCAGTGTAACCTGTCTCCTTGATCTACAAATGTGCCAAGTCAAAATTAAGGTTTACGTTGCCAAATTGTATACGATACATGAATTGTTGTTCAATCTTTTCAATTATGTGTAGCGTTTTGTGTACTGTTGTTTGTCTTTTCGACGTTTTTCTTTTTGTTTGTTTTTCATCGATGTATGTAATTTGATTACCTCTAAGTATCTTCAGGCTCTTTCTTTTTATTACATACCAAGTTTAAAAATATCAATCAAATTAAATATCTGATAATTAGAGATCCTCATAATAAAGACACTGGTACTATATGGCTCTCATCTTAGAGATCCTCATAATAAAGACACTGGTACTCTAGGGCTCTCATCTTAGAGATCCTCATGATAAGACACTGGTACTCTAGGGCTCTCATCTTAGAGATCCTCATGATAAGACACTGGTACTCTAGGGCTCTCATCTTAGAGATCCTCATGATAAGACACTGGTACTCTAGGGCTCTCATCTTAGAGATCCTCATGATAAGACACTGGTACTCTAGGGCTCTCATCTTAAGAGATCCTCGTGATAAGACACTGGTCCTCTAGGGCTCTCATCTTAGAGATCCTCATGATAAGACACTGGTCCTCTAGGGCTCTCATCTTGGAGATCCTCATGATAAAGAGACTGGTACTATAGGGCTCTCATCTTAGAAATCCTCACGATAAGACACTGGTACTCTAGGGCTCTCATCTTCATGGGAATATCG